TTTTTTTTTTTTTTTTTTTACCTGAATGGAATCCTTGCCAGCCTCTCGCAAAATATTCCTTGGCTGCGTGTATCCCGGTCCGTTGCTGTACAACAACGTTGTATATGGCTGTCCATCAAGATCCGACACCTTGCTGTCAGAACCTGAAGCAAAAAAGGGCACGCGAGCGGCTCATCAATCAGGGATAGGTGTATTAGAACTGGTGAGCATCGTGCGAGCGGATCAAAACGAGCGGAGTACCAGCCCGCGTGTTATTAAGTCGTTATACCGCGGTTGAGCCAACGAGTTCCCGGCGAAAGGCTACTGAGAACAAAGAGATATCACGGATTTTATATATATTCGCGCGAGCGAGAGCTCGATCATTTTTAATGGCATTGTTTGCCCGATTTGATGGATAGGTGCAATTTAGTTTGGCAAGTGATGTATACTGAAGGCGAAACTCGCGGTCAATCGCAACTCATCGACCATACGACGAGAAGTGCGAGATCACTCGGGCCAGATAAACGAGCATCGATTTTGATAACTCCCCTTCCAGTTAGATCGTGGAATATCGTTTCGTTTATACTCGTTATACTTCGATTGTCAGTAATTTTGATCAATATCTCCAACGAACGTGTCGGTTCTTTCCAACTCGATAACAATCTCGCAATCAGTTCGACACTCGCTAAAGTCGATTTTCGGTCGTGAATTCACAAAGTGAGATTCTACGAATATTTTACTAACACTCTAATCGTTTCTTCGAGGCTTTTTCTAACAATTTGATCAAGCAAAACGCAAGATCACGGTGCGATTACATCCAGCATCCCAAGCTAAAAAATTTTTTAAAAACTGTTACGAAGAAAACATAATCTTTGCCTAAATTATTTTACTACAACCTATTAAAATTATTATTGAATTATACTGTATACTGTATTTATACAATAAATAAGAGCAATATTCAGCTACTGTTCTTTCTTGGAATCTGAAGTTTTCCCACTTTTTATCATATATGTACTAAATTTGTTTCGTCAGTCACTAATAATCGACACGGCATTTAACACATTGTTCGTAATTGAGTATGAAAGTGAAACAATCTAAATAAACTTCAGTATATACTTTGTTCATACAGAATGAATTTAAATGAAACTTTATTTTTAATTATCAATCAGCCTTGAAAAGTTACTCTCATCTCCTCTCG